GGCACGTTAACATTAGAGGACGAAGAGGAGGACGACGACGAAGAAGATGAAGAGGAGGAGTAGGGGGGAGAAGATGAAGAGGAGGAGGAGGAGGAGGAGGAGGGGAAGAATAACTGCGTTAGAATAGCCGGGGGAAAGAAAAAAAAACCATCTGCCACCTGGCGCGTTAACATTAAAGGAGGGTGAGGAGGAGGAGGAGGAGGAGGAGGAGGAGGAGGAGATGAAAAGGAGGAGAGAGAGAGAGAGAGTGAGAGAGAGAGAGATGTCCTCCCTCCTTCGCCGTCCTCGTCCTCGTCGACAGTCCCCCATCGTCGTCCTTGTCGGCGGCCCTCCTCCCTCCTTCGTCGTCGTCCGTCGTCGTTTCAAAGTCGGCAGTCCCCCCGTCGTCGTCCTCGTCGGCTCCTCCCTCCCTCGTCGTCGTCGGTCGGCCGTCACGAACCTGCACACAAATGGGCAGCGCCGACTTCGAAACCGGCCCCGCCCGTGGCCCGAAGTGTTTGTTTTTTGGGGGGAAGGCCTACAGAATTCGAATTCGAATTCTGCAGACCTTTCAAAAAAAAAACTTCGGGCCGCGGGCGGGGCCGGTTTCGAAGCCGGCGCGGCCTCTTTTTCAATTTTGGGAGGCCGGGGGGGCACCGTACTGAAACCCCACCCCCCGTTTTTTTTTTTTTTTTGCGACCTTATTTATTTGGGTGCGCCGCACCGGGTGCGGGGCGCAGTGCGGGGCGCTGCGTGCGCAACTCGTGCGCTGAGGCGCCCACCGCGGTGCGCCGCAAGTATGCTAAATAGTAAATTCGCAGGTGGTGTTCAGGGTCATTATAACAAACGTCCCACAACTTTTAAGGCAGACTTGTCACCAGTCCTTAGAGTGGACAGCAAATAAACCAACAGCAAAAAAAAAAAAAATCAAAAAAAGGGATTAAAGGGGCCTAAAACCTGAAGGCAGAAGTGTCTTTTCATGAACACCCAGACCTTGACCAAAAATAAAACAGGGCCAAAAAAAAAAAAAAACCTGAAACCAATTACTGAATTATTATCCCTAAATGCACTTTTCAGTGCTTGGGGGGGGGGGGGGGGTACCTGGGGCTGAAAAGTGGGGGTCCCTGTTAACCACTTGTGTCTCCTGAGCGTATATCGACGGAAAGGATGACTATGGGGTCTCGATGATCTATATTTTAACAGGCTTTGATGAAGGCATTTCGAGTGGAAGATCTGCCAATTGAATCCAAGATGCTATCCAAGTCCCTGGATGAGGCACAGAAGAAGGTGGAGACTTATTTCTATGATATCCGGAAGCAGCTGTTCGACTATGACGAGGTACTAAACAGTCAGCGCGAGAAGGTTTACTCCGACAGAAGGCGCTGTCTTGTTTCACAAAGCTTAGAGCCACTAATGATGGAGTATGCAGAGCTCACCATGGATGACATTCTTGAGGTAAGGCTCGCGTTAACCAACCAAAGAAAAAAGGCTTTAAAAACCGTAAGCGTTAGAATTTGTCTGTAAAACTGTCCTTTGGGACATCCATTAAAATTGGAACGATACAGAGGAAGAAGATTAGCAGGGGCTCTGCACAAGGATGACACGCATAAATCGAGAAATGGTCTTAAAAAAAAAGAAAAAAAAGAAAAAGAATTTGTCTGTAAAAGTTACAGTAAAACATTGTGATCAATGATCATAAAAAAAAAAAAGTGAACCGCTCCCCGGAATAGAAGGAGCCTTGTGTCCGTAAAAAAAAAAAAAAAAAAGTGAACACTGAACAGAGACTACTTTTGTAATTTGCCTCCGTCCCAACATCTTGTGAATCGCATGAACCAAGTGATTATTTATGTGGCAAAGACTCAGAGAGAGAGAGAGCTTCAAAACAGTGTTGTTGTTGTTGTTTTTAATTGAACCTTTGTGAACCGTCAGATGCACACAAGTGGCTGGTCATTCTGTTGAACAGACGTATGTAGCATCGATAATGAAGAGAACACAGCGTGGGCATCTTAGGCATGAACCTGGCTACATACATCTGAGTGTGAGTATCCCTTCAGCTATCTCATCAATGTTGTTCAGTCCAGGGACTTACCTGACTGGGTCTTGAACTCAGCAGCTACCAGTTGGAACTCATGCCAGCCGTGCAGCCACATGGGTGATACCTCATGTGGACTCTTTCTTGGTTTTCTAACTTTTCTTTGTTTTTTCTTTTTCTTTTTCTTTTTTCTTTTTCTCGGCTCTCGTTTTTGTTCTGGCTCTTGTCCTCTATTTACCATAATATCATGGATGAAGTTGTTGGGGGTTAAGGGGCAAGGTTCCCTAATACAGCTGCGGGGGTGGGGGGGTGGTTTATCTTGTTCTTACTCCAGTGTCACCCGCCCTTGATGTTTGAACTGTTGGGGGGACGGCCGAATATCAGGAGGTTGGACCAACGGCTTATTACAGCAGGGCCTGTTGGCTGAAATGACGACCTATGTCCACTTGTTCAGGGACGCGATTGCCTAATACGGCTGCACGAGGGGGCGGTGGTTTGTCCTGTTCTTTGCTCTTGCGTTCGCCTTGTTTCTTTCTTCTTTTGCATCTGATGCAGCTGAATATTCTCTCTTTCTTTTTCTTTTTTTTAAAGAAGGGCGACAGCCTTGAGATATCATCATTGAGCTGATCGGCCCAAGGTAATTCAGAATGATTTTATTATGGTGATCCGATTGTATCTGGACTCGAACTTGGGTCTGCATTTCAACAGCTCGTTAGTGTACTAACTGAGCTAGGCCCGTCGGTAGTTGTTGCCCTTTTTTTTTTGCTTTTGCATCTGACCAGCTGAATATTGTGCTCTGCTTGTGCCCTTTGGCTTTTCAGGCGAACTTGCCTCCTTCAGTTCCAAGAGAGGAGTGGGATACAGCGTCGCTTATTGGAAAACTTACGCAGTAAGTCAATTATGTTGAACCAACCCATACCTTCCCCAACTTCAGACAGGTGGTCCCGAATGCCCCTTACTGAAAGACTGGGCCCAAATGCCTCCCACTGATAGATTGGGCCCGAGTGCCTCCCACTGAGAGATTGGGCCCGAATGCCTCGCACTGAGAGATTCGGCTTCTTCCATTCCATGAAGCTCCAAGGACTAATCGAAGTCCTCAAGGGCTTCAAGGACTCCTTCAAGGACTCCTTCAAGGACTGTAGCAATTATTAAGCTGTTAATGGTTCAAGCACTCGAGCAATCAAACCACCAGTCTCATTCAAAGCTAAATTGATGAACCAAAAATGTAGTTTGCTGAGCAGGGTTGCATACCCGCTGCCCACCTACCGCAACCGCCGACTGTTTTGCAGCCTACCCGACCGGTCGGCAGTCTGCCGACCAGGCAGTAAACAGCCATCCACTGATTTGTTTTTTTTAATCTGACTACAGGGATGTTCTGTGCTTGCTGAGTGCAGCCCAAAGGGGGGGTAAGGGGGGCTATAGGGGGGTATGGGGGGTACTGGGGTGGTATAGGGGGGTGTATGGGGGGGTGTATGGGRGTGTTGGTGGGGTTATTGGGGGTCACGGACTCCCTAAAATTTTATTTTATTTTATTCTTTTCCTGCAAGGTGCCGCCGACCGCCAACCAGTAGGTGCCGACCAGCCGCAACTGGCCGGCTGGTCGGCAGCCAACCAATCAAAGGGCACTGACCGTTGGCCTGTGCAACTCTGTTGCCGAGCCTAAAAGTCACCGGTAACTGCCGTTCGAAAGATCAACACTGTACCAGTACCGGCCTCTGTATCATTGGAAAGTCTGGGGCTCCCACAGACATATCAGGCCCCAGAGTTAGTGTCATCCGTTGCTCTACTGGCACTGGGCCGTACCAAGGGCGGTCCTCGTATACGAAAACTGATGGACAGTAGCTTCAGTGTGCTGGTGGTAAGTCCTTGAAGCTTCAAGGACTCTAGCAATGGTCGTTGAACGTGAAGCTTCAAACGCTAAGCCAATTAAGTCCTTAGAAGCTTTAAGGACTCGAGCAGATAATTCCTAGTCCTTGAAGCTTCAATGACTGAAGCAACTCAAGCAATTACGTCCGTGAAGCTTCAAATATTCGAGCAATTGAGTCCTTAAAGCTTCAAGGACTCTAACAATCGAGTCCTTGAAGCTTGGCGAACTCAAGCAATTGACCGCATTGAACTGTCAAAGTCAGTGATACTTTTCCTGTACTTCATAGCTCTCTATTGTAGGAAGAGAAGACAACCGCAATGACAGTCGCCATGATGACGATGGCGGTGGCAAGGACGATCCCAGCGGGATCATTTTGTTCAGGGCACGAGCAGCTGGGTGTTGTGGTCCCCAAAATTGAAAGTTTTTTTTTGTTTGGTTTTAGCCGCTTAATGAAACACTGCCGTTGCCTCCGATGACTGCTGGGGTGAAACCAGTAAACGAGGGGATAGCAGCAACAAGGCAATCAGGTGGTCGGTTACCAAGCAGCGGCCTGCAGTGCCTGCAGAAGACTGCAGCTGCAGGTCACTGGTGTCAAAGTCAAAGTCAAAAAAAAAGAAAAAAAAAAAAGAAAAAAAAAGAAAAAAAAAAAAAAGAAAAGAAACTGCTGCCACAGATCACGGTCCTGATATTTCAGGTGAGCACCCACAGTTATTTACATCGCCTCTCGAGGTTCGGCGATTCAGCTTCAACCAAAAGAGAGGGTTGACGAAATAGGTTTGGACTCGGAAGGCAGTGATGTTCAGAATCTGTCTCTTATACACATCTAGATGTGTATAAGAGACAGCTCTGTGTGTGTGTGTGTGTGTGTGGAAATGTTTCAATTGTAGCTGAATGGACGAAGACGAGTTCAGACGCTGATCCATTGACATGGCTAGGATAAGGGGCTAGCCCCTTTCAGAAAAACACTATCTTCTTCAATTAAATGGAAAGTGCAATTGGCCTTATGTATTGTGGAGCTTGAACTTTGTTTTGTGATCACCAAAGTGATTGTGTTGCCCTTTGCCAATCCAATCAGGCAGCGCAGCTAAGCTCATGTGCCATATGAGTACTGAAATGAAGTGCAAAGATGAATCAACTCCGTCTTAAGCTGGTCTTTGTACCAGTACCAGTGGTAGACAAAAACTCTTCAGGGTATGGGGAGACGATGTCGGTTCATGCTGAGTGGAAGGAAGAGAAAGACCTAATAAAGAAAAGAAGATTCTGGAGGAGTTCTGCTAAGCATGGTTGGATGCTTATGTGGTGGGCAGAGTGATATGGATACCAGGGGCTCCCCGTCACTGGCTTTTAGGGATTGGAGTGTGTGGAATGGCAGCTGGATATTCAGGCTGGTTGCAGACTTTGCTGACCCCTGGACACCGATGAATGCCTTGATGGAGCAATTGTGGCATGAGATGGAATGATTTGGCCCTCTTGTGTGTGATTAGTGCAGGGTGACTTTTTTTTGTTTGGGTACGAGTTTTCTCCTTGGTACTTCTATCACAATCTGAAAAGCTAAGTCTGGTGAGTCTTACTGACAACCTCAGGCTACAGTAATTGGCATAGCAGGTGGTCCGCGGTCGAGGCTTTATATATCTGGGGCTAGCTGGTTCTGAATAATGGAGACGGCACCCTTTTCGATTCTGTGGACTCATGTTTTAGGGAAGGTGGACCCAGTTTCTAGCAGGTGCCGCTCCCCACATATATCTCGGGCAAGTGAGACTGCTATAGCTAGAGTGAGAGAGAGAGTCGTAGTCATAGGCAGCAGCAGGCGCCGATGCACCATAGAGAGTGAGAGAAGAGGAGAGGGATGAGGTTTGAGTCCAAGAATTGAAGGAAGAGTACACTCTACCTATATGTCTGTCAGAGCCCAGTGGTTGCATGTGGTTGTCACTTTCCCTACAAGGCCTAAAGGTGATGGCGGTGACTGTTATACATCTGTGGTAGAGATTGGAAGGAGGTAACCATTGAAGAAGGGTTGGCAAGAAGGAAGAGGAAGCTTGTCCGTTTACTGGGGACCAATGCTACCTGTAGAGGAAGACTCGATATTTTCGAGGGAGATCTTTGTGTGGCACGGGTGTTGGTCAGGTCAAGGGATGAATGGGAAGGCGACCATAGCTTCAGAGTGCCAATGTGGTCATGATTGAAGAGGGAGATGCCATGCTGCTCTGGAACACAGGGCCATGGCATTTCAACTTCTGTCACAATTGTGCTGCCCTTGGATAGGCCAGAAGTCGAGAGAGAATAGCTTGAAGACTGGCATTGTGTCTGGTTTGGTGGTGAAGGAGTGGGGAATCGAAAGCCAGCAGATAGAGGTTACATTGACGCAGTGAGAGAGGAGTCCCAAGGCGGAAGACGGAGAAGCAACTTGAATGTTGTTTGCATTTTTTATCTATACAAGTGGACCCCGCCACGGCTACGCCGTGGCGCACAGCAACACTCGCCGATACCCT